TCGAAAACTATGGGTTATAACACAATTAAGAAAAATCACGCCGTGTAGGATCGCCCAGTCAGCAGTCTCAACAAACCGGAGCCCGTCGCGTGGCAAGGCACGCTGACTCGGTGTCATGCGGGAGGCCAAGCTAGCAATCTACGTGCCCCGCAATCGGACGATCCAGAAGTATTCTCGCTCGTGTGGATAATCCGAATCCGTTCCCTCATCAGGTGCAATCAGATGGTCGCGATTAAATGCGATAAACGATCCAGATTCGTTTATTCTTTAAATGTGATCGGGTGATCGATATCAAATCACGATGAACGGTCCATATTTATTTATTCTTTAAACGCAATCAGACGATCGAAATCAAACGCGATAAACGGTCCAGATTTACGTGATAGGAGTATAAATATTTCGTATCACACCAAACCCAAACCCTAGCGCTAGCCTCCCGCCGCGCAAGAACCTTGAAATTGGCCCAAAAAAAATTTTTAACACCGATTTTAGATTTTTATGATATTTTTATGTACGTGAATCATGTTTTAATCTCTGCATAAAAATTCAGAAAACTCAAGGACCGCCAGTAGATGTAGTAGAAAGTGAGGTGTTTCGGTCACTAATTTTTGTAAGAATATTTTACTTTATTATCTGTTATAAAATTGAAACTTAATAATCGGTAATATGTTATTTTGTGTAATTTATAAAATTTTGATAATAATTACAGGTTACCAATGAAACCGAAACCGGTTAGTTGTTTATTTGTTGTCTTATTTAACTAATTGTTGAATTTACAGCTTTAAATACACGATAATATACTGGAATGGTTGAATAATTCAGTTGTACTTTCTTGATATATATATATATTGCTTATCTTGCGTGTTTTACAGTTGATTTGTGAAATTATAAATTAATATATAAACGAAAAATTGACTGGTCATGTGAATTAATGAATGATAGTCTTACTAGATATCCTATGAGATAGTTAACGAACTGGGTGCATAAAAAATCATACTATGAACGTTGCTTCATATCGGACGGAATATCGATAGATGATATTTTTGGCACTTATACAGGACGAGGTATGGGGATGATCTGATTTATCATCATATCGAACGAGATATTGATTAGTGATATTTTTTGCACTCGTACCGGACGGGGTATGGAAACGACGGTTAGTTGACAATATTGAATATTGGTTTACGCATAGTAGAACATCCTTATGGACCCCAAATGATATCAGTAAGCAAGTTAAAAATGAAAAGTGGTTCACTCGAAAATAAGATTGAAATGTTATTTGAGTTGTTATATATGTAGGTCGATTTTAAAAATATCGCAACGGTAAATATATGCAATAAATGATTTTCTTTATAATAAATAAATTTACTTAAATCAATAGCTCTATTGGTTGTTTTTATAATATTTACTAATTTTTAATTTATGTATCGGTGAGTAGTGTGATATTTTTACTTGGCTAGTGTACCTCATCATTTCACTAACTATTTCATATTAAAAGGATTAAGATTAAGATCTCGATCAACAAGAGTGTTGTGAATAAGTTCACCACTCGAACTCCATTCAGAAGTTAGTAAAGGTCGTCATAGAATGCGTAGTTATTTACCTTTTGTTTATTTATTTAATTTTCGTTTGTTTATTTTAGAAGAAATATTTTTATAATTCTATTGGGTATTCTAAAGTATTGTGTAAGGAATATAAAACATAAACTTTATTATTTTACTTATGCATTTAATTTATGACTTTATTACATTTTAAGTTTTGAGCATTTACAATATTTATATTAAAAAATAAAAAAATTAATTTTTAAAATAAATAAAAATATGAATAAATAAATTTATAATCTTATATTTATTAATTTATTACTCGAGTCAAATACTATTTGAATATAAAAAGTAAGATATATTAATTTTGACTTACATATTTAGTGAGATAACAGATTATATAATAATTATTTTATTTTGATTAATAAAATAAAAATATATTATTTTAATTATAACTTCTTAAATCAATAATTATATAATTAACAAATTAATTATTTAATAATTAAAATAATATAAAATTTTAAATAAATTATAAAAATAAAAGTCAATTATTGCAAACATAATCTTAATAAAATATTTAGTAAAGAAAAATAAAATATAAAATAATCCATTATAGAAATTTTTAGTATAATCTATATTTTTCCCAACCAAAATGGAGACCAAAAGTTTAACAAACCAAGTCGAACCAAACCGTTTACTGAACCGGTCAAAACCGGACTGGACCGGAGCGGTCTGTGCCTCCACGAGCGGATAATATTGGATCAATCTTCACATCGTTTACTGATTTCTTAAATCTTGACTATGAATTCCAAAACCCAAAACCATGTAAACCAAAGGCGTAGAGAGATGTTAACTGAAAATTGAATGAGAAACAATGGCAGACAACGCACAGAAGTACGTATGGGAAGGAGCGATTCCTCTGCAGATTCATCTTCACGAATCGGATGTCACCACTCTCCCTCCTCCTCCTTCTGCCCTGGTAATCCGCCTCTTTCCTTTCTCATAATCTCTACTTAATTAATTTACTTTTTATTTAAACATCACTTAGTTTTTTTTTTTTTTTGGTTTAAATCATGCTCAGGCTGTACTTCCCTGTATTTGATTGATCTCCGATGGTGTAATTTTCGCTTATTTGCTCTTGTTTTATGGAGTAGAACTTCACTGTCTCTCACATCGTCAATCATCACTGGTTATGTATAAAAGAAAACTCAAGTGTGAAGTCGGTTATATATGTGATATATTCAAGGGAGTTTATACAGTGCATGTTTAGTCACAAAAACTACTTGTAGAAATAGATGAAGAATGTACTTTTTCAATTTCTAAATAAATTTTAGGAAAGAATTCATTCTTAATGGACTTTACGTTTGGAATAAAATATAAGTCTTCGTTGCATTTTCTTGCAGTGCACTTTTAGCCGTAGTGGTAGTGTTAATTTCTTTGTATATCAGTATAAATGGTAATGATGTATAGTATGTCTGTTGTTGACCATTACAACTTACTTCCAAATCTCATTAATGGAACTCAAAATTTTCAGTTATCTTTAGAAAATTCATTTGCTTATGAGTTTTTTTTCAAAGTATAAACTTTGATTACAAATTTGTTTCAATTTTTTAAAGAAATTCATTTATTACAAACATCCTATATGAATTTACCAAAATTTATATTTATTTATTCCGAACACTGTAGAATTTTACAGAGATTTACGTTTACTTATTTGATTTCAGATATTAGCCCCTCGAATTGGTTATCTGCCTCTGTTAGCTCCTCTTATAAAGCCTCATTTCAGCAGTGCTCTTCCCCCTGCGGTGGATTCCATTTGGTTTGAGTACAAAGGATTGCCTTTAAAATGGTAGGCCTTCTATTCACCTTTGAAACATATGCATTAGTAGTGGTTCTGCCCTTTAGCTGCTTTTAATCCTTTCTCATTGTCTTTTCAAAAAATCCTGTAGTATTGACACTTCTTATGGTTGGTGAGTGATAGTTATTTCAAAAAAAAAAAAATGGTTGGTGAGTAGTGCTTTAGCTTTCCAAATCCACCCAAAATGAGTTTTAAATGTTTTTCACACTGCAAATTTTGTAATATATTGGTAGTCTCGATCCTTTAACGAGCAAATCTATTAGGCGAAGTTTGCAATGGAGAAAAGACTAATGAAATGAGATGACTTTCAACTCTTTAATCATATTCTGTCATGCAAAGGGAGCAACAAGTACTTTCAAACAGCTTCTTCTAGGAACAATACTCTATGACCTCCAGTCTTCAACTAACTGCTGCCTTCTTTTTTTGTTCACAGCTATGCCCTTTGTTGTTCATGACATGAACCCAACATAAGTTTAGAGACTCTAAAAACTTGCAGTTCTACTTGGTTCTTTGATAAATAGTAGAGTTGTTTTTCCTATTAAATTTGTATCTTTTGGTTGCAGGTATATACCAACAGGAGTTCTTTTTGATCTTCTATGTGCAGAACCAGAAAGACCTTGGAACATAACGGTGTGCTTTAGTTTATTTCAAAGAAAAAAATGGTGTGCTTTAGTAACTTATCTAGTAGTATAACAATTTATATTGGTGGTCTTGTCCATTGCTTCTGGAGTTTGATAAATTTAATGCACGAAACTGAAACTTGAGAAGGAATAGTTAGCGGATAGGTTGGAATTTACATGTGCTGTAAAGACATATGTGAATGTTTATTTTGGTGGCTTTTCAATCAATTCCCCATAGGACATTGATTTTCAGTTTAGTGAAATAGAAAATTTTATTCTGAAACAAGTTATATATGTTCAGGTAGGTGTTGACTTATTGATGCAACAAGTTTTATAATTTGTTTTTGTTGGCAAATTTCCCCAATCAGACATCAGTTGAAGCATGAAATGGCTATAATCAACTACTCAACTATGCTGTTTGAAACTTTAGGCTAGAGAGACCTCTACAGTGAAAGATGTGTGAGGACAAAATTTCTTCAAAACCTGGAGATTTGCTTGTGACACAGGATTAGGGTTTTACAGTTAGCATCGAGAATAGCATGATTACAGTTATATGGCCTGTTCAATGAAATGTGATGACATTATCTTTTAAATAGAGGGATCTTAGTTTATTAAAAAATCACAGTCGCATACCCTTGTTGCTTGGAGGTCAACAAATAGTTGGTTCTTATATTTTATGTCATGATTATCATGTTTAATGATAAAATTTTGGCTGCAGGTGCACTTTAGAGGGTTTCCGGGAAATATATTGGTTCCATGTGAAGGTGAAGAATCTATAAAATGGAGCTTTATTAATTCATTGAAAGAGGTTAGTTTGCACTTGATGAAATCTGAAATCTCCTCTTTCTCTATCTGTATGTATTCGAGGAAGATCACAATAAATGTTCGAGTAAGTTATCACTACAAAGTCTTGTAAGGTTAAGCACTCTGTTAAAGTCTTGAAATTGTTTAAAGGGCTGGCTTCTAAGTTTCTTAAGTAATATAATCTGAAGTTGTTAGATATTAGACTGAGATATTCCTCCTTTCCTGAAGAAATTATATTTTACAGTACTCTTTACATGGCTATATACTTTCCGGTTGAGACAAACTCGTCACTGATTGAGCATGTATTTTCATCACGATTGTTATGAAGATGCTTTATGGTCTCAAACTGCAACACTTTGTGGCCTACTATGCTAAGTGTAGTTTTTGGTTTATCTGATTTTTTTTTTTTTTAAATTTCTCTTTATCCTGCTGGAGTACCTTTATATCGGAAGTCAGAACAATACCTTATTTCTTACTTCTGTCTATAACAACTTCTAATTATGCCTACAGGCAGCATATATAATAAATGGAAATTGCAAGAATGTGATGAACATGTCCCAATCTGATCAAAAGGAGCTCTGGCACTCTGTCATGAATGGTATGTTTTCTTACAGTTTAGGCATCAGAAAAGTTGTTAGGGCTCATCAATTGCTATAAAAATGGTACTTCTGACTTACACCAGTATTTGATATCAACATTTCAATGAGAGACTGATGAAATTTATAATATACTTAACACATAAACGAAATGAATGAATTGTTATTTTGGGAGTTAATAATACCATTAGTATGAGGTTCATCAGTCTATTATTTGCTACATTACTTGTCAAACAAAAATTTTGATGATCATTCCCTAGCCTGGAATATCTCTATATTTAGTAGTTTATGTCGTTTTGGGAGGAGAAAAGGAGCATAAGATTCTACGGTGGAGGATAACTTTTGCTAAGTAATGGGTGTTTTTTTTTTCTTTGAAACAGAGTAATGGGTGTTGTAGTTGGTGTAACGGCCTCGAAAATTCAAAAGGGAATATATGTAAAAAAAATTTAAGTGCGGAAGCGAAATAAAAAGTTTTTATTAATATCATTTACACAATAGTTTAAAAGTACTAACAATATCAAAAAATAAGTTCCCTAAAAAAAATACTAGAAATGAAAGATTATAAAGAAAACTAAAAGACATCTAGGCATCTACTCGCCGTCTTCTTGTGGATCGGGCTCGGGAACCAAGTCCTTCTAATCTGAAATGGTTAAGTAAGGAATGAGCTACACTAGCTCAGTAAGGACGTCACACTATATCACTGTCACAGAAGTAAAGGTTAGTAGAAAAACCAAAAACAACCAATGAAGCACACATTTTAAACAAATTCATTTATCAATAATTAAATCATTTACCGTCAACTTAGCTAAGTGAGATTTATAAAAAACAACCCATGAAAATAATAACATCATAGATATTATGAATTCATACATAATCTGTAACATAGCATATGTCATACTTTTGTATTTTAATCATCAAACAACAGTTGCCCCCTTTTCATCAGGCTACTAGTATTCATGGGGATCTATAGGGGTCTCCGCTACACGTGAACCATTCCCTTAACAAACTTAATTTTCAGGGCCGTCCTCATACCCCGTTCGGTATGGGCGCCAAACAATAAACCTTAATACCCCGTCCGGTATGAGGGCGAAGCGGGCCGTCCCCATACCCCGTCCGGTATGAGCGCCAAAACATTTAAAGTCTCCATATCCCGTCCGGTATGAGACAACGTTCCCGGTAGGGTTCCCTATGGACCCGGTCCGTCCACCATCTCCTAGGACATCTAGTGAGACTGTCATCTTATCCAATTATCAGTTCACACCCATTTCCTATTTTTTTTCCTTAGTCTCTGTTACCCATTCAAACATGAATACTTAAACAAGCAACGTGCATTCAATAAGGCACGCATATCTTAGATTCACAAAATCAAGCAGTAGTGAGGTAAACAATGATTCGTGCATTCAAAACCATAGAATAAATAAACCAGATACCATAATGCATTTAAATTGTAAAATAAATCAAATAGGAACTGACAGAGAAATATGTCCGATTCGGGCTCCATTAACAACCGTAATTAATTATGCATATCTACTCAATTTGTACAAAATACAGTTTTATCATTTATTCAAACTTCAATCCCATGATGGGAAATAGAGTGAGGGGTTTTTACCTGATTCGACGTCGAAAACCGGATTTTCACTGCGCCTACGGGCAGTTCTTGGATTCCTTGAATTTTTTTTCGGGAACTGAAACGCGCTTACGGTTCCTACACATGTCCTAAACAACTCAAAAATCAGACCCAGGGCCTACTCGGCCAATTTCGGAATTCCGACACGGCGGCAATCCGCCTCGGGTTGACTGCTTTCGGCCGTTTTCAGCCGAATTCAGTCAAACTTGTATTGGTTCATGTGAGAAAATACCCCTAGGGCTCTCGGTAGGCCGAAAAAATACAGAAAGCCGAAACTTACCGGCGGTGGGACTCTCCGGTGCGGCGGCTCCTCTGGCTCGCGTCGCGGTTTAGTGTTTTGCTTCGGTCAACCTGTAAAGGAGGGAACGGTGGTCACAATGGTGGAAAAATTACATCGAACGGGAATCGGGAAGGGCCTCATCGGAGGCAAAAACCAAGACAACCCGCGGCGGTGCCGCTGGTCTTTGGCGGCGTTTTCCGGCCAATTAGCCGGTGTTTTTGCTCCAATTTGGCCATAAGTGGGTTTAGAATGAATTCTGAGCCAATGGGAGAATTTTTATCTCGTTTGGCGGCCGGAAGTTGCTCCGGTGCAGCGGCGGGTGGCGGTGGTCGACTCCCCAGCGACTGGGCTGTCTTCTCCGGCGAGGGGCTTTGGCGGCTAGGGTTAGGGTTTGGGTGCGGATGAGATTATTTATAACCATTTGCTTTTAATCTGAGCCGTCCGATCGCGATTCAATCTGAGCTGTCCGATCGCGATTAAATAGGAAATGAACCTGAGCCGTTCATCGCGATGCAATCTGTGCCGTCCGTGCGCGCGGGAACGGATCTCAGCTGTTCGATCGCGCGCACGCGGATCGCCCACGTGTCTCCCTTCCGCCTGGCCTCCCGTGTCAGCGTCTCTGCCACGCGGCGCGTCGGGGTTGGCCGGGGCTGCTGACCGGGCAGCTGACGGAGCACAATTTTTTTAAATTGCGTTTTGACCTCCGGTTTTCAATTTTTCTTTTAAAAAATAAAAAAAAGAAAAGGGTTGGGGTGTTACAGTTGGAAAGGAGGTACTTAAATTTTCAAGCAATGGTATCAGCCACTGCCACATGCTTTGGGAGAGGGTGCTGTTTCATTGAAGGCTACATTGGGGTTTTGGGAGAGGGGGGGGGGGGGAGAGATATTGATGATATATAAGTAGTAGATAAAGTTCTTTTCTATTAATAATCTTTTGCTATATTGGTCACAGTTAATCGTACAGAGAGTTTCTTTTAAAAAAAATTATATAGAGAATTCCAAATAGGTTGTAGCTAAGCAACTTCGCTTATGTTAAAGAAGTTTATTCTGAAATCTAAAATGAAGCCAATGGTACACTGGAACCTCAGTGAAGAAACTTTTTCTGGTGTCAACTAGACAAGGTCATAGACATGAAAAGATAGAGCAAGAACTCGACCCAAGAACTTCTCTCAAAGAACAGCTTTGGAAAATATTGTTTAAACTAGAAAATTCTGTAGGGTATTATCAATAACAATATGCTTTTCCTTTCCACTATACCTGTCCAAAACAAAAGATATAAAGGAAGGGTTTTCTGGAGGGAAAGCGTCAAGGTAATGGAAATGAGAAGCATTTTTTTTTAACGGAAATGAGAAGCATTTCACTTAGTTAAGTGGGAGGAGGTGAAGAAACCGTTCTATAAGGGAGGTCTAGGGTTGAGATCTATTTTGAAATTGAATTCTGCTTTACATGGCAAATGACTTTGGAGGTTTGTGAATGAGAATGGGAAATTGTGGAGAAGGGTGGTGGAGACTAGATGGGGTGATTGGGAAAGGGATGGGGGAAGAAGAGGGAAATATAAACGTCATGACTCTAGTTTGTGGAAGAAAATTAGCATTGACAGCAAGAATTTTTATGACTGCATATGCTGGCAGTTGGGTAATGGAGCTGAAGTTAATTTTTGGAAGGATGAGTGGGCTGGTGACTTCAAATTGAAATATAAGTTCCCAAGGATCTTTGAGGTCGCTAGTGAGAGGGATATCTTTGTGGAGAAGATGTTCGAGAAGGGAGAGGGGGGGGAAGATATAGAATACTGTAATCTGCTTCGTTGTCTTACTGATTTTAAAGTGGGAAATCTGAAGGACAAAATAATTTAGAAATTGGACAAGAAAAGAGGCTTTTCTGTGAAGTCCTATAATTTTATTGTCAAAAATGGTGAGAATAATGTCAATCAGCACCGTTTAAGCAAATCTGGAGATCAAAACCTCCACCTAGAATGACTTTTTTCATCTGGGAAGCTGTTAAAGAAAAAATCTTGACCATTGATATGTTGACAAGAAGAGGCTTGATGCTGGTTAGTATGTGTTACATGTGCAAGGCCGAAGAAGAATCATGCAACCTCTTGTTTCTTCAATGTCCTATGGCATACAAAATTTGGGAGTATATGTATGAGATTATTAGGATGAACTGGGTCGTGGCAAGTAGTGTTAGTGAGGAGTTGTGGGCGTAGATTGGTTTATGTAAAAAAAAAAAGAATTATTCCTTATTCCGATCTCTATTATGTGGGTAGTTTGGAGGGAGAGGAATGTTAGGATTTTTGAAGATGTTGAAACAGACATTGTAAATATTAGAGATAGATGGTTTCATATGTTTGGTTCTATTTTGATTGATTATGACATATTATATTGGGAAGATATTGGGGCTGTAATGAATGACCTGATCGACTTGTAATTTTGTGTTTTTGAGTGGTACCCATTTGGTACCTTTGTGTATAATAATATTTTTTATCTTTTATCTCAAAATTTTTTTTAGTGTTGGATGTTTTGTAAAGATGTAAAATTTAAGGAAATGAAAATATTGAATTATATCAACTATAAGCAGAAACAATTTAGAATTTAGGGTTTATATTCCTTACACAATAAATCAGGATGCCCAATAGGATTATGGGAATGTCCGTTTATAGGAGTTCATAGTGACAAAAAAAATAATTAAAAACAAAACAAAATAAAAATTCTATGGGATTAACCTCCGTTGGGCAACTCTGATGGGATTCAGGAGGTAATCTTTATTCGCAACTCTCCTGCTGTTCAGAATCTGGATTTTAATTTTTTTGATCTGAAATGGTTAAATAGAGGAATGAGTTACACTGACCTAGTAAAAATATTACACTTAACATCGATATAAAAAAATCAAAGATTGGTAAAAAAATAATATAACAACAAATGGAGTCATTTGTCTTTCTTTAATAAATTTGTTTAATGTAAAAACGTAGTTTCATACTTATCTTTATGAGTATTCAAAACTGACTTACGAAAACAATAACTCGAATCGCATTTTGATTTCATTTTCAAATGAGATATAATAATAAATTACCTGTTTACCAGTGCCCCTGGGGGTACATAGAGATGTTCCTTTACACGTGAACCCAATATCCAATTTATTAATCATCTAACCGTTCCCATACCCTATTCGGTAATGAGCGCCAAATATGCCACCACTTCAATACTCCATCCGTTATGAGGGTAAACTATACATCCTAACCCCTTTCGGTATAGGATTTCTCAATCCCATTAGACTGACTTAATGTCCACGGTAGAGTTTTCTTTATATACCGGGTCTGTCCACCATTTTCCAGGGTACCTAATAAGCCTTTCATATATAGATTCACATCATCAATCCATCACCAATCGCATACCAATATTTCATTTTATATTTACAGATCAATAGAACAACATTTAAGCAGATAATTCAAATTTATACTTTAACAATTAAAAAACGTAATTAGGCCATTTATTTCAAATCAGTTAAAAGATAAAAATAACGGTTAGACAATTAATAAACGAGAAAACAATTAAAATTAATAATTAAAGCGCATGGTGCAACAATAAGCAATTTAGACAATATAAGAAAATAAATAGGCAATACGAATAAGTTAGGGAAATTATACACTGACTAGTTCCAACTCCAGTGGTGACTTGCTAATTTTAACAAAATATAATGTTATTGATTATTAAGTTTCAATTTACAATAACGTGAAAAAGAGTGAGGGATTCTTATCTCGGATCGGTGTTCGAAATATCATATTTTTCATTGCACTTCCTGGTGATCCCCGGGGTTTCTGGATTTTTTTTGCAGAAATTAAAAATATCTGTCACGTATCCAAAAATATCCCAAAAGGCCAAAATAGGTGTTTTTAAACTTTTTCGGCCAATTTAAGGTTCCAGTATGGCGGTGTTGGCTCCACTGCCCACGGTGGCGGTTCCTTTCGGTCTGACCATTTTCGGCTGGTTTAGGCCAGTTTTGTATGGAAATATGCGAAAAACCAAGTTATGGGGCTTCTGTTGGTTGGAAAAGACGAAAACTGAAACTCTACTGGCGGAAGAGTCTGCGGGTGCGGCAGCTTCGCCGTTCCTCCTTCGCAATTAGGGTTTTCCTTCGCCTAACCTGCACAGAAAGGGACGAGTAACAAAATGGTTAGAAAATCGCGGGGAACGGGAAGGGGTTTATCAAAGGGGTTTTTGGGTTGCGGTCGCGGCGGCTCAGCCGAACTTCGCTCATGTTTTCCGGCTTACTTGCTACCCTTTTTGCTCCGATATGGGTATGGGGAGGCTTGAAATTCAATTCCGAGTGGAAGAGAAATTTTTTTTCCTCTTTCGGTGCTCGTGGTGGCTCCGGTGTGGCAGCGACGATGTCCTTCCGGTAGCTGGTCTTCCCTCTAGTTGCCCTCCTTCTTCTCCGGTCGGGGTTGTCAACTACAGTTTTGGGGCTAACTAAAGAGAGGTTTAAATACCTCTCTTCCCTCTGATCCTGACCGTTCGTTCGCATCGACATGGAGAGAGGATAGTAGTCCGATCGTTGCCTGTTTAGGCCGATCATGTATGCGAATCTGGCCCTCTATCGTGATCAATATCATCCATCTGATCACGTCTGAAGAGAAAATGCATCTGGAACGTTCGTGCGCGCGGAATGCGATTTGGACCATTGGATCACCCAGGCACGTGGATCGCCTGCGTGGCTCACGCGTAGAGCCGGAGTCAGCATGTTCGCCACGTGGTGTGTTCTGACTTGCCATGCTGCTGACGTGGCCGTTTCACGTGACTGTATTTCTTTTTATTTTTGCGATTTTATCCTCTGTTTTAAGTTTTTTTTTCAAAAACACTCATCATTATTCACAGTTTCACCATTTTTCTCAAAATTATTTTTAATTTCATCTATAAATCTATTTTTCTAAAAAAAATTCATAAAAAATAAAATAAAATAAAAATTAAATTATTTTAATATATTATTTTATTAATGTAAAATTATCTCGGGTCAAATTTTCGGATACAAGTATTAGATGTTTCAAGTAGCGTTACTATCAAGTCGTACTGTCGTATCTTTTTCCTTTTGCACTTTTTTTTATGCATTAAAACTTGAAAGTTGAGGAGTTGTATTTCAATTGAGCCTTTCACCAATTTGTTTACTTTTTTCTTTGGGTGTTAGAGAAGAAATATTATCGACAATTTGTTTGTTTTGCTTGATAATGTATAGAATAATTTATTAGATGCTTGCAGGCACCAATATTTAGTATTTTATTTTGTGTGCATATGGATGCACATGAATTGTAAAGTGAAATAAATTCGATGGCAGAAAAATATGATGCTTGATTTTGTAAATTTTAGTAAAAAAAGATAAGAGTTCACATTTATCTTTGTCTAATAATTTATGTATACGGATGAGCAAAATTTCAGTCAGAATTGAAAGAACCGAGAAAACTGAACCAGTTTAGAAAATTGGGTCTCTCCAGAAACATTCTCACCAAAAGGATTAGACCCAGTCAGGATCAGATCCAATCGAGTGACCATCTCAATTATTTGATACTTTTAGTGTTCCTTGGGTGTCTCCTGGTACATGAACGTTTTTCTTTCTTTTATTCTTTAGAGTATGAGTATGAAGAAAAAGATTATAGCTCTTCCATGAGGGAGTCCTCTTTTGGAGCTGTGGGTTATTTGGTTAGAAAGAAATGCTAGAATTTCTATGGATCATTTTTTTTTTGGATGCTTTGGGTAAATCTTTCTTGGCATGCCTTTTGGTTAATGCTCATGGACACTCTAAGAATATCTCCTTCCCTGTTGTATAAAGATTGGCTAGCTATTCTTTTGCAAGAATAGATAGTTTTTCTCCTTCTTCTTTTTTGCTTCTTTGTTTCTTTCAGATAGGTACATAACGCTCCTCTTTTATCTTGTTTCTCTTAAATTATATCTCTTCTTTTCCTATGTACATAGAAAATTGTTACAGGCGCAAAGACTGAATAGAGCTATCTCACTAGACATTGCATGTTCTGTAGGCAGAGTTTTGGAAAAATTATCATTTTTTCTTACCCTGTGAGGTGGTTTGATAATTATGGTGTAAGCCTTTTGCTGTGTTTCGTAGGTTGTGGGTTTGTCCTCTTACTCTGAAGGTTTCTTTTCTGCTCATCTGAGGGTAGGATGAAGAGGAAGAAAGTTAAGGTACGGTGTGGTGCTTTTTTTTAGCTGGGTTTTAGGTTCTCTAGTTGGAATGTAATACCAAGATCTTCAGTCACTGTGTTCAGCATCCTCTTCATATTTGAGATAGGTTGGTGTTTCAGTTGCTTAGTGGGCTAAACAACATGGGTTTTAGGGATATGCCTAGATAGTTTTAGAGGACTTAGGAGGCCCTTTTATGTTGATCGCCCCTTCCTTTCTTGTTTATGGGTTATTTGTTTTTTTTTTTTTGGCTTCTTTTGTTCTTAGGTGGAGACCTTATTTTCCCCACCTTGTATTCTCTTTCTTTCCTTTTTCTTATTCGAAAAAAAGGAAACAAAAAATATGTTAGCATTTTCATGAAGCTATAATATCTCTATACCTGTACATATTCAATTTTTTGAAATTGCATAGAGTATTCAATCAAATAAATAGTGATTGCAAACTTTTTTTTTAATTTTCTTCAAGGACC